AAAAGAATTGAAAGATAGGGAACCATTACCAAAGATAAGGAAGACATTAAATCCTATCAATTACCCAATTTCAACTATTACCCTGTTGGAAACTTCAAGCTTTCTTGTAAGTGTGGGAGTACTCCTGAGCGATTTAATCGACTGAGATAAACTCTCAAACGACCGTACATGCAACAGAGCTTTTATGTAGTGTGATGAGAATCCGAGAGGAGAGTAGGAAGTTTGGCATTGTAAAGCACTTTGATCATAGACAGCTAATCAGTGATATCTGAAATTTCTGCTCTCCTTTTGTTCGGGTCCAGTAGCTGCAATTATATACCATAGTTGGTTATTCTGTATTTGTTCGTACAAAAACGTACCATCTCCAGCTTTTGTATGTAAATATTTTCTCGTTGTATTTTTGCAAAAGGACAGAAAATATGAGTTTAAGGTAATGAATTCCTTGCCATATTTTTTTCTTTAAAAAATTGATGCTGAGAATCAATTATGAAATTGGAAAGATATGGAAAAATTATGAAATAATCAATTATCAGCAGGTGTCGGCTTTATTGGAAATTATAACAAATAACACTGGCACAGCGGCCAGTAGCAATCAGTAAAAAAAAACCCTAAAACCCATTTTATGCAGCGTCAAAATTTAGTTTTAGCCAGCATCTTTTAACAAATTATAAGATCCGACTGTTTCTTTTCCCTGCAGTTCATGTCATGGTGTTTGCAGACCGTAACGACAAGCTCGAAATGTGACGCTTCGTTCGCACATTGACTACTGTTCAGTGACATTTTTTGAGTGCAAGATTGTCACTGAAAGCCGTGTAATTACGACGTCGACGTTCGATTGCAGGAAGCGGCTGTTCTAATGAAAGAGATATATCGTGATTAAAAGTTTTCACAATATAGTCGCCGCTTAATAAAATTCGTGTATATAATTTATGTGCAGGGTCAAATGTAGTGGTGTACGATCCCGCCTTCACTCGCATTTCGTAAAGAAAAAACTCGAAGAAAAGCAGCACAACATCTCAGTGCACAACGTCGTTGTGACCGGGTCGCAAATCATATACGATACGGTAGTCAATAAAAGTTTAGCTTGGAAAACCAAAGTGATATGTTCAGCCTAAGAAAGTTCAACTGATTTGTATTGTATAGAAAATTAAGGATAAGATCAGTCGATAGTCTCCGTTGCCCGCTTTTACCGAGTGTTTTGCGCATTTAACCCATATTTTGAATATGTGTTTTCCGCTAATGTTTGCCTTTTCCGGCGTTAATCTTCGCTTTAGGCGCCTTTCTGCTATTAGCCAGACGATTATTCGCTTTTCTCCCATTATTTTATCATTTATTTGCCATTAAATCCGTGAAAAAAATGAGAATACCTCATAAAATATCAAGAAAAAAAGTATGTAATAGAGTTATCCGCTGAAGACATTTTATTAATACTCAGCGCTTAGATTAAGGTTAAACTTTAAAGCTTAAAGTTAGGATAAGCCATTTGACAGAGAATGTCCATGGCATTTAAAGGAA